TCCCTACACACAAATTTAGTTGCCTTTTTCCTGCCAGCCTAATCCTTCCACCAGTATCTTAGCAGCGTGAAGCCCTGCTGGGATGTCTGTCTCTAGCTTTGTCATGAGTAACTAGTTTACCTGAAGTGTAATATGAAAAGTTGCAGAAGACTATCTCATTTATCTTAATTTTCTTTGTACAAGCCAAAATTAATGAGGCCCTCATTTGCCTTTCTTGAAACACTAATCTACAAAGTCAGTCATCATCGCAGTTATTTGTTTGTCAGATGTGATTGATGTCTCAGCTTGTTAATAAGATTTCTTCTCCTCCTATTTATTCACACTTCCCCAAATGAGTCTTCGTTGGTGTATTCTGCCTCAGGTTTACTCAGCTGATTATTAATTTTATGGCTCTGCTTGCAATTTGTTTGAAAGATACTGTACAGCAGCACATTTCTTTTCATAGTACTTATGTATGTCACTTCACATTGCTCACTTTGCCATTTCTCATGGCTGAATGCTTTAATAAACAGCTGTGACTATATATGTGGCATTTGGCAATATGCTTGGGGTTGACTGTCACTGTAGGTATTTTGCATGCAAGTTTTTCAGGGGAAGTCTACTGTTTCTGTGTTCACAAGCCTATGGCAGTGTAAAGAGTCCTCTTACCTGTAAATTTAAAAAAAATTGCTGTTCATGAACAGCTCCGCTCATTTCTAGTCATTCTTGTTTTCAATATTTGTCACAAATTGTTTTCTTGCATGAATATATTTCAGTGGGATGGGCTGAACCTCTCTGAATCCTGCAAAGAGCTGAGTCCTTAAGCAGTCTACTCACCAAAGGCGTTGTGTTCCAGCCAATTTCTTGGCTTTCAGTTTGTGGCTCTGAATATTTCTTGGTTGGCTCCAGTGCTGCATGGTGAATAAGATTCAGAAACTTGGCTGTTGGTTTAAGAGACACAAATACAAATGAAAGAAAGTACGTTTAAAAAACACTCATCTATGAATATATGTTAGAATGAGGCATCCTAACACTGTCCAAGCAATAGCAAGAAAGCCAAGGTTGGAGGCAACTTCTGCTTCTGTGAATGATCTTGTAAGAGAATGCAGGGTGACATTTCTACTCAAATCTATCCTGATGAAGTTTCAAGATTTTCCTGTCTATACTGTCCTGTTAATTCTATCATCCTCATCTACTGTATTGCAGCATCTTACTTTTTTCATACAACATCTAGTATCAACCAGCGCTCCATGTTAGCTGTCATCTTTCTCAGTTGCCTGAGACCTGTTGCCGTTACTCCTTTTGGGTGTCCAATCCCACCCATCCCCCCTACCCCCAATCCCTGACTAGAGCAGGCCAACCTTAACTGACCAGTAAGGCTTTTAGACAGAATTGGCGTATTAGAAATACGGGAGCAGTTGCTCTAAGGGTTCCTGTTAGTAGTGCTCTAAAGCAAGACTCAGCAGCCATTTCTTCAGTTTACCATATGCAGTGACTAGGTAGAATCTGCAGTGAACAGACAACATTTGTATAAAACATGTTTCTGGATTTTTTTTTTTGTTTTCCCCTGAAAGAGGTTTAGATTCTCAAGCAGAATTTTATAGTATGATAACTAAAAACAAAAATAAAAGCATAATTGCACGAATACAATCTTGTACTGATAATCAAAAGTAGTGGGAAAGGGCCTTAAAGTAGAAACCCCCCCCCCCAACCTTATGTTTAACAAAAATCACGAATGAGTTTAACTTTCTTATATTGTCACAGGGGTGTTTCTATGTATGTCTTCTTTTAGACTGATTGGAATTTTTTTAATCTTACTTATTAGTGATTTTCTTACCATCTGCTGGTTCTTCTATATTATCATGCCAAGACATAGGCTTCTTGGTGATGGTGTGAACTGGAAAGAAATAATGCAGGTGAATGACTTTAATGTGAATTTAGCATCACGGCCAGGTATAGGATATCCATCACTGCAAATGTTCCTTTTCGTTGTCCCCCAGTTTGGGCCCAGGTATTTCGCTGAAGTCTTAAAGGAAGAACAGCATGTGAACGGAACAAAATGAGTTAGAGTACTAAGGGAAAGGTGATATGCATGTGAACGGAACAAAATGAGTTAGAGTACTAAGGGAAAGGTGATATGCATGCTAAAGGCCCTTCTCTGGGATGCTGCCTGCGTTCATCATGGCAAAGTTCCACCCCACCCTCATGGTGGCCTGCAGGGTGCCAGGTTTCAAACAATTTTCCTTTGGTTCATTTTTGTTTCACGGTGAAACCTACACCTGAGTGAATCTATTCACATCACCCGTCCACGCCACCACGTCCATGACATTCTATGACTGTGAATTGGCAGATAGAAACCGGCCCGGGGCTGAAGAAACGTGGTGTAGTGTTTGGGCTCTGTACCCCATCTTAGCTCTGGGGTTTTTTTGCTCAAGGTCCTTGGATTCCAGATCCTAAATGGTTGCCTCACTTCTACGTGTTTCCTAACGCACCGTCTGTTTGGGAACATTGGTCGTGTCTCAATTCTGTCTTTTGAGCGTGCAGACTGGTTTCTCTGGCACAACAAAAAGCCCACCAGTTGCTCCTTCCAGATCTACCCCTCTCACTGGCCATTGCTG